GGATGAAACCCAGATTAAAATTCTGTGCCTCAGTAACCCAGGGAAACCTCGAATTAAGTCTATAAAAGTGGAACTTGTTGGCATAGAGCCAGTGTGGTGTAGTGGTTAGAGTGTTGGATCTGAGAGACCCAGGTTCAAATCCCTACATGGCCATGAAGCTCACTGTGTGACCTTGAGCCAGTCACTAATCCACATCACAGTTTGCTATTTATTTATTTTTTTGCATTCCCCCTTTTCCTTTTTTTAAATTGGTTTTCACATATTACACTACAATACAGATGTACCAAAACCAACACCATTTCCTCCCCATCCCCCCATACATTTACCGGTACATTTCTATTTCCTTAATCCATCATATTATTCTTTTCTCCTTCCTCCCACTTCCCTCCACCCCCCTCGATTTCCTCCACATTATACAATTTACAATAATCTTTGCAGTCTACAACCTTCTCAAATCATCTATATATTCCCTTACTAATTTTTCTTCCATCCAGTACTTCACATTTTAATCTAGGCATATTAGCATAGCCTTTTTTGACCAATATTTTGCCATATATTCATCAAAACATTTCCACTCCTTCTTTAATTTTTTATTTGACTGATTTATTATTATAGCAGTTAATTTTGCCAAAATTAAATATTCATTTCGTTTACAAATCCATTCCTCCTTTGTGGGTATAATTTGTGACTTCCACCTAGCAGCAATCACTATTCTAGCAGCTGTACTTGTATATAGAAAAATTCTTCCCCCCCCCTCGTGGTATCTCTTCATCTATCAATCCAAGGAGATATGTCTCAGGTTTCTTTGTTATTGATATTTTCAACATTAGTTCTTTGTGTAAGGTAAAGGTAAAGGGACCCCTGACCATTAGGTCCAGTCGTGACTGACTCTGGGTTGCGGCGCTCATCTTGCTTTATTGGTTTAACCCACAGCGCCACCCGCATCCCATTCTTTGTGTACTAAAGGTAAAGGTAAAGGTACCCCTGCCCGTATGGGCCAGTCTTGACAGACTCTAGGGTTGTGCGCCCATCTCACTCAAGAGGCCAGGGGCCAGCGCTGTCCAGAGACACTTCTGGGTCACGTGGCCAGCGTGACATCGCTGCTCTGGCGAGCCAGAACCGCACACGGAAATGCCGTTTACCTTCCCGCTAGTAAGCGGTCCCTATTTATCTACTTGCACCCGGGGGTGCTTTCGAACTGCTAGGTTGGCAGGCGCTGGGACCGAGCAACGGGAGCGCACCCCGCCGCGGGGATTCGAACCGCCGACCTTTCGATCGGCAAGCCCTAGGCGCTGAGGCTTTTACCCACAGCGCCACCCGCGTCCCTTCTTTGTGTACTACTATCCACAATTTCTTAATTTCCTCACACCTCCACCACATATGTATTGGTGTTCCTATTTCTCCACCCCATCTCCAACCGTGGTTGGATTTCAATTTGTATATCTTTGCCAACTTAACCTTACATTTTGCTATTGTGCTATATCTCAACGGACTCTTACAGGTAGTCAGCAGAGACTCTGGTGGATGATCTGCCTTCCCATCAGCTTCATTTTAACTCTGGCATGTTCTGTAATAATATGGAAGAGGAAATACATATTTAAAAAGAGGTAGGAACATCTCTGTTAATCTGTGACTATGGAATTTCCTCCCTGTTAATATAAATCATATAAGTCTTTTCACAAATGTGTTACTCTTATTTCTTCACACTGTGATCTTAGTTGCTGTTTATTTGAATTTTTATACTGAATGATATATTGTTTCTAAAAATGTCATATACTACTGTTAACGGAAAAAATCGAGGGCTCCCTTGGACAAAAACAAAGACACCAACCAGGATAACTTGGAGCAAAACAGCAGCCTGTAGGCTTGGCCTTTATTGATCTGTTGCAACAGGGTGCTCCCCTCACTTGCAGGAGAGAGGAAGGACCCAGAAATATGGTGTGCCAGGTCTTATAAAGACTTTTGAAATTGCCACCCTGTAGATCAAGACCACCCCCCTGAAACATCATACATACATCACAGAAGGGGTGTAACCTAAGACCACCCCTCAGATACATCACACCTTCATCACAGAAAGGAGGGGTTGAGGGAGGAGTTGTGGTGGTAACCTGAGTGTCCTGTCACCTGGCTGGTTCCCCCTTTCCCCCTCCCCATGAATACTTTCCAGGTGACAGAGGGGAGTTTGCAGTTTCCTGCCCCCAGAAGGAAGAGCTGATCATTGTCCTTTGTTCCAGTCTGTGCTGAATCCACTCCCATATGCAAGTTCTTTGTGATCTTGATGATCTTCTGTCTAGGACCATCAGGGTTGGCATAGCAACTGGGCAGGGCTCCTGTGTATGTGCTGGTATGCTCAAGGGATTATGGCTGCCCTGTATCAAACATTCCCCATTTTGTAGTCCTTCCTTCATGGAGTAAAATAAAAGTGGAACAGTGCAAATCCGATGTATGGTTGATTTTCTATGAATTTATAACAGAAGTGTAGCGTATGTAGTATGTGAGTGTGTGTAAAGTTT